AGCAGGTACTGCCATCTGCCAGCTCGAATTTGAAGTAGACGCCTCAATCATCGTCCGTCTAGGAATAACATCAAGTCTCCAACTGGCCTGCACGATGCCATCGTTGGCATATGCTGCCTTGAGGAGTTCGATGGTAATAGCATCATCGCGACCATGTCGATCAACCTTGAAGAACTTTTCGTGACACGAAATAACTAGAAAAATGTGCTTCGTAAGGCTGCTGCAACGGTTTACGTACTGCGTCAAGTCGAATGGATACGTGTAAAATGGAACCCTGTTTGTGGGCACAGTTCATCACCAGAGCTACCGGTATGTTGTCCGATTACAGGGGATGTTGAAGCGTACTTATTGCAGTTTCTTCTCGACGGTGGCATTATCCAATTTGATGTATTGGAGTTTTCCCACATGGTCAGTTTCTTTTTGGTCTTACTCTTGATTGCTTTGAGATCTGCTTTCAAACATCACCTCGGAGGGTCTGGTCGCAAGCTCGGTGTCGGATGAAGTTTCAACGTTTACCACTGTTATCTTTTCGATACTTGCATTTGCTAGGTTTACATATCCGTCTGATCTGAGACCGTGAAAAATAATTGAAAATTAATAAAAACTTTACCGTGTGGGTGGTGGACAGTTTGCTTTTTCGGTCCTTGACTCCGGTAAGCTGGTATTGCTGCTTTTCAGTGCATAATATCAACTCTGCAGTCTATTCATCTGAAGGTTAAGTTGATAATAATAATAATAATAATAATACTGTAACTGATTGATAGAGTGACGCGCAGAAAATGATCCTCAAAGTACAGGCATATATAACACCACTTCGGTAATCTACGTGTCTCAAACTAACGTATAGAAATCCAGTATTCTCTAGGGTGACCAACAAAATGCAAAAGTTCCACCTCGGGTGGTTCCCATACGAGGATGACTATTGGTTGTGTTGAAACGCAAAAATCGTCTCGCAATGGATGCTCTGGAAACAATTTATTCTATTGAGTTATTGAGTTAAATTCACTGCCGTAGTTCCGGATTCTCTGAATTCTGTCGCCATCGGAATGAAGCGACTCTTCCTCGAGAGCCAGCCGGGCTACTTCTATTTCATTCTGGGCTTCCATCATTAGTCGCTTCTTACGCATTGCTAGTTCTCCTTCTTCTAACATCAACGCATGTAGTGCAAATTTGCATTTCAATTCTGTTCTAATTATGGCTGAAGGTGTAGCACTAGCATGAGATTTCACACTATTTTGAGAGCCGTGACATATTGTAGAACCAGAGGCAACTTGCTTGATTTTTCTCCGGCAGGACATCAATCGGAGACGTGACTTCTGGTAATCGGCTTTTTGTTTCACGAACCAAGAATGACTTCAACCGCGATGGAGGAGCGGCGGCGACCAACTGCAGATACTCGGAGAGCTGGGGACCTCAAGCAAATGCAATTTCAATAATGCTTGGAGGGCTGAACACTTAAACAAGGCCGGTCGCAGTACATGTCCGATTACTGGCAAACTTGAGTACTGTACCGGATTGCAGTCCTGTGATAGGGTGACATTTAGATTACCGAACTCGTGTTCTGTTTGCCTGGACTTCAGGGTTCGTTTGCTACGCGTCACTCTATCACTAGACGTCCATCTGGTACATGATCTTTTCTATTGTTTCTGTCCAGTCCCATTCGGATTGGCGGCTCATTTGTGATAGGGTAATCTAGCGGCTCTTCATGCTGATGGATAAATCTGACAATATGTCTGCTTGATTCTGAATGATTCATTTACCTTGCAAGATACCTTCAAGTAGGCCTCTGGCTACACTATGTGGTTGGCCAAATAGGTACTTCAATATTTTCCTGGTCCTGGCGTAGCCTTCCTGTGATGGCAACATGATGCGCTCTCAAACGCATTCCTCTGCTCTGATCTCGTGACTTCACTCTCTACGTAGATTACCGAACTCGTCTTCTATTTGCCTGGAATTCGGGGTTCGTTTTCTGCGCGTCACTCAATCACTGGACGTCAATCCGGTACCAATACTAATCCATAACTGGCCATGTAACCTCAATGTTGGAGATGAATCACTTTTGGTGCACTGTGGCTATCGTATTATCGGCGAAATCAACAATGAAATACATCTAAAATAAAGGTACAGTTACCGGTGGTTTCACATTCATCAACACTTAATAGGTTCATGGAGGATTTTGAGGTATCAGGTTTACGACGGTACGAATATTTGAATAACTGACATATATACTACGCATCGGACTCACAGTTACTTCTAATTAGTGGTGTGGGATAATATTTTTTTGTTGATTTGAGCTGACTATCCTTCGTACTTCACCTTTACGCTTAATCGATGAACTGACACATAAACACCGTCATTTGTGATACCCGAATGCTAGCAACAATGATTTACAACAAACAATAAGGTGCTACCTTCATTTTCCAAAGGCATGTAGGGACGGAAATGTAAGCCGAACAAAAGCCAACATGACGGACGAACAAGTTTCCCTCCAATCTAAAGGTCAATTAAAACAAAGTGTTAATGTTTTCAATAAAATGAAGTTGAAGAAACTAATTTACCATTTAGGAGAATATATTAATTTACTTTATAATTCTGCACAGCTGAAATGAAGAAAAGAAAAAAGCATTTCATAGATATGATTCCACTGCTTGCTTGCCAAATGCCACTTACCTACCTCATTCCATGCATTAACCACCGGATGAGATTGCCGGAACATTCATGATTTAAGTTAGCAAAGCTCGACTCAAATGAATTGAAGCGAACCAGAGACCCAATATTAATGAGAAATATGCAATTATTCAACTAAGAACACAGAGATATCCTCTTCTGGAGCAACTAATCTCGTTCTAAGAAGTAACGGACCATTTCCCACCCCAGGAAAACCCAACATAATGAACGCGAAACAAAATGAGTAGCTGATGCGATTAAAGACAATTGTTAATTAAAGGTCCTGCCTCACATATGAATGCGCGTATGTATAAATATAGGTATGCGTATGTATATATAAGACAAAAATGAATTCAATAATAATATAGTCCGAAAAAACAGAATTGACATAGGGCGAAGATTAAGCAGATGGGTTTGAATGTTCCATTGGCGGTTTGGAGTCCGGAGAAGGAGACACGGTGAAGTGTAAAAGACTGAGGTTGGGCGGTCTATCAGATTGTGTCTAAGTCGATGCCAGTCGACGACAGACAGAAGAAAAACAATAACGAAACTGATAAACAGTGTCACAATTGATTTGGCAGGAGCTGCAAATGGGTACGTATAAACACATACAAACAACAGACGAATGTATGACTTGAACGCTGACAAAAATGAAGATGAACAACACAGAATGGACCAATCCACTTCTTCGAATGGTTTTATCGAGTCAGGGATCGATGACAGCAGGCACAAGGGATAAGCAAAGCAAGTGAGAACTGGAAGGAAATCGTCGAGCCAGTTTTTTTTACTGGTAGGTTGATTGAAGAGGAGTAATAGTAAATAAACGATAAAAAGAATCAGAAAAATGGCGCAGCAAATGTCCAACTTCGAGCAAAGAAATCTTAAGCAGATCGCAGTTGGTTGTCATAGGGTAATAAAAACAGAATAAAAAAGAGCGAAGAGCAAGACAGAGCAACTAACGGCAAAAAGCAGCGTTTCGGTGGAACTTCGGAATCCGGAAGATAAATGGTCGGAGATATATAGAGCACCACAAAAAAGTTGACAAACGGGCAACACAATCCCATTAAGTCACATGCGTACATGTCAACGTACAGCGACACAAGACCAGCTTGCTTGCATAGGTAACGCAAGGGCGTTTGGAGTAAACGAGATGAACGACCAAAAATAGAATTAAAGCGAGTGACAGGGGGATCCAGAACGGACTCTGCGTTACTCAAACTCGTTTACTCGACTGGAGAGTCGAATTCTGAAAACGGACGAAGAGAGTGAAAGATGAGCAACTGTGTTACTAGACCTCAACAAAAGCTTACCATAAGATTATAAGTTGGGTACAGACAAACTGAGTGGGACTGATTAAGGCAGATATAAACACTGTAGGAGATGGGTATGCAATCATCCATAGATAATCATGCACATCGAAGGTCACGACTTGCATCGAAAAAGGAAGACCAACGATTCTCTGACGTAAAAATTGAGTGAATGCGCCATTTTGCAAAAATGATGTTTTCATATCCATCACGTTATTTTACAACACCCATCTCGGAACAGATTTTCCAACCACAGGCACAAGTTCATCTGACGTAAAAAGAGTAGTTTTTGTCTGCCAAAATAAGTGAATGAATTCCGGTCGAGATACCGCAATCTACTTCCTGGCCTAACTGCGTTTTTTACAGGGTTTGAGTAAGAATAACGAAACGAAGCTGAGGCGCCAAAGCGCGAGATCAATTAGTCACATGAGCTCAAATTAAGTTAAGAAAACGTCGGCGGACTGGTTTGCCCTAAAGAGAAGTTAGCAGATCCGTACGTCAATAGGGTGAGTACGACTGAACTTTGATTTAATTAACTGTCACATAGCTCTTGAATTTAATCTGTAGAATGAAATTCATTAGAAAAAATTCTCTCCGTTCGATAAACCAAAGCAAAGTGTAGGTGAGGTCGATTTCGATAGAGAACACAGGTGGTGGTGGCGCAGTGGTTTAGTCGCTGTCAACGGCGTGCTCTGGACCCTATGGTCCGAGGTTCTAGTCCCGCCACCGCCACACAACTTAGCTCTCGTCCGGTTCAGTATCACGCCTAACCCAGAGAGGTCTTATGTGGTTCGCCAATCCAAGTTCCGGGGTTTAGGTTACCGGTTTCCATCAATGAAAAGCAAATCCTCATGACTATGGGGTTGACCCCGTCTGCTATTCATCACACTAAAGTGCGTAATAAAAACGCATATCGAGGATAACTTGAGAGATGAGTCGCGGGTATTTTTTAAGCGAGACACCTTATTGACAGAGAAAAAACGACTGGCACAGCAAGCGGAATAAATGCGATAAAAGCAATCTCCCCTACACCTCAAACATAGATGCACCAATACAATCAAGCCAGCTGGAGAGACACTGACCTCCGATTGCCAGTTCTGTCACTTTGCGTGTGAGCAGATCGAGATTATGCTCAATGAATTCCGTGCCTGTGTCCGTCCCGGACGTGGTTGCGGTGGTTGTCATTACAGAGGCCCCAGTTCTGGGGTCTCCAGCTGCTGCGTAGACTGAAGGAAATCTGAACAATTGACCAGTACCAGTTGCACACCATTCCGGAGGACCGTCCGATGCAGTCCCGGTAATATTTGCCCCCAATGGATCTGCCGCATGTGGTACAATCCCACATGGACAATTAGCGTGAGGTGCTCGAAGAGAACCACCGTATTCATGACCTGCTACAGCTGATGGGTTGATACGAGCATGGTCATGTGAGAACAGCTGATAAGCGGTCCTGTCTGATGCGAGTGGGGCGCAGGACAAGGATGTAGCGGTCCGCACTGAATCGAATTCATTTCCCGTCAGATGACTAGCACTATTCGTGCATAGGTAAGAATTGGTTGGAGTTTGAAGTGAAGACGGTTGACTCAGATCGGACAGACCAGGTGTGATAGGCAGACAATCCAAAGCAGAAACTGATTCTGAGAGCACGGAACCTCTGGGAAACAGTGGGAGCTATGGAGATAAAAAATATCCGTTTTATGATTAACTACAGAATAACCTTAGTCACACAAAATCCTTAAACAGGGAGATGGAACAAAGGTAGTAGACTGCAACATAGTGGATTCCAGGCGCGTCCCGGGAGCTGACTAAGAGGGTAACCAAAAGAGTGTATACCACTTTGGCAATTTTGATGTAGTACATTGGCGACTTCTTCTACGGTTGCGTTTTCTGAATAAAAAATCCACTACACTGAATACTACCCAGCTTTACAGTGACTCCGCAGATGAAAAAAGGTTAACGAATTTTTAAACAGATGAACGAAAACGAGAGAGCGAACTAAACACTGAATAATGGTAGAAAGATGTGGATGATAACACGAGTAGATATACGAACGCCGCTATCTGCACCAATTTGCGGTGTAGCTGAGCACCAGGAAGACCGTCTTTTGTACCGGCAGAAAGACACTAATCGCCAATTCGGAAACAATCGCAAAACCCAGAAACCCTATTGGTTAACAGTCCTTGCAGTTTGATACGTTAGGTAAGTGAATGATACATTAATTGTCGTTTATCATGGAAACCGATCACTGATGCCAATACCCTACGTACATCCTTGTACTAATGATCTACTTGCCCGGACAGATTGCGAATGGATGAACCACAAAAATTGCCTTTATACAGTTCAATTTATTCGATAATAATTTGAAGCAAATGTGGTGTTAAAGAAACATTAGGCAATAGAGAGTAGAACTGGCGGTACCCAAGAAAACGACAAAACAAAAGAACAAGAACAATTTTTGGCTTCTTCCATCCTACAAGTTTTGATAATTTTACATTTTTATGGGACACAAGACTTTAACAGAGTCGCACAACATCCGCGATCAGCGTCAAAGCAGCGCAACGCCGAGGCCGACAACACCGTAAGCGTCAGATGCCGAATCGCCGGAGACGCGGAGAATGAAGTTGGGTCTAAAGAAGGTAGTGGGATAATTGAAATAGGCCCCTGTATGCGTGGTTCGAAGGTAGAGTATACGTCTACATCGAAAGTTTCAAGAATTCTAGCTAAGGCGACGTGTTGGTCAATGTGGAAGAATAAGCGAATACTGAATGCGGTCAACTGAAGAGGAGATTTTAGTTTCATTAGCCTAATAGCTTCTGATTGATTGATTAACCTTACTGATTTAATCCGAAGTTATTAATTTTGAGTGATGAATATAGGAGGCCTATATCATGATGTGGGAGGGAGAGGAAGAACTAGAGGGATAAGAAACACCATTTTACAGATGGGCTCAGTTTGCACATTCATTATCCCGGGTTAAAAAACAAAAGCATTAAACAATTTAGAAAATGATGGAGGATCACAAAAAAACCCAACACTGGACAAACTCACCTGTGACTGCAATTCCGAATGAAGACTCGGTTGGAATGGCAGGTTTCTGGATGGGTGTTGTTGCGGCAATTTTGTGCAAGATGCACGAGCACCTTCATCCACCTTCTGTGCGATTCCACGTACACTGGCGCAGGGACACGTCATACTTGGTTGACAAGGGCTTGCAGGAACAGCCAACAGTAAAGAGGGTGCAGCATCCTGTTGTGGAGGCATACCAGTACCGTGTTGACGCACATCTGACGGAGAAGGCATTCGTGTGGGTGGAGCAGTAGCTGGTGGGATGAGGCTACGGGGACATCCAGAGGGATAACCACTTTCATATGCTGAGGATGGGCTGGGAAAACGTGTTCGTGGGAATTGTTGTATTGTTGTTGACTGGGAAACGTCGGCATCGGAGGAAGAAGATGCCTGAGGTGGGCCAGGAAAGAAAAACTGTGTATTTCGACTGGGCATAAATGCGGGATTTGGACTCGGCATCCGACGACCCTGACAGGACTTGATTGGTTGCAGTCCCAGTCGGATTTGATTGACTGGTACACTGTGCCTACGATGAGAGTTATCATCCAAAGAGCAAACCGGATGATACGAATGACCACTGGTATTATGACCCTGGGTTTGAATGGCTCGTAGACCGAGATTGCACGCCCCTAGGCCTTGATCTTGAGCCGTGGAATACGAGGAAGTAGTACAAGGAGGATCGGAATTGGCCACAGTCGCGAGAGTTGGAGCATCATGCACAGACATGGAGGAACAACAGGCAACAATTCCTTTCTTCGATCGAGGATGAAACCGACAAGGTGGTTTCCGAAAAGATCGACCTCCGTGATACGATCGCGGAATAGAACGTGACGAACGCGACGGATCAGAGGTCAGATGAAATGGAAGGGAGTCTAAAAGATTAAACATCTGCTGCTTCCATGAGGCAGTCAAGCTCTTTTGTTTATCCGAAAAAGCCTAAAATAGAAATGAGGAGGACAACGGGAATTTTTGAGGATACGAGTGTAAAACACATAAGAGCGAAGAGATAGTTGCACCGGACGATGGAGTAGAATACTACCAAACAATTAGCTTAAAATAAAAAGTCATTAGGAAAAGGTGATTGGTGTCCTCATGTTACTTAGTTTTTTTCAGTCAGCTGTTTTTGCAAATGCGCATTTGATAGAGAAGCCAAAGTTTTTCAGCATTTCAAGAGACTCCAGGACGCGATAGGCATTGTAAGCGCTAGAAACACCACCTGTCTTAAACGGCATCGAAAGAATGGAATACACACGGATGCAGTTCCAACATTATTCGACATCGTTAACAGATTCTTTTTCAAGCTTTGGCGGTGAATACGATTTTGCAACAAAAATGAAACTATGGCATCCATGATGCACACGACTGAAATCAATCAGAATGATAATGCCAATGCGAGGTAACAATCAACGATAAAGGACTGTCTCCCATTAGACAAACCTTCCAAAAGTCTGTGCAAAACTATGTGAACGATTCGACGTGGCAGAATGCTAAGCAAACAAAAACAGGAAAAGAGAAAAAATGCATGTTTAAAAACAATATATCAATTTCGTCTTAGGTCTTGCCGACATTGCACACATTCCATTGGAGTATATAGCAAGGGGAGTAGTGATTCAGGTTGATCAAAACATAAACAGGGACAGCGATTCTGTAGGCAGAAATAGGTTGTGTGAGTTGAAGTACTCACCGGATGGCCACCAATGATGTCTAAGAGTTGGATAAATTGTTCACAACAGTCCAGATCAGGCTGCGAACTGACCAAAAGCCGCGAACAAACTGCAAATAAGGGAAAGAAAACATTGAGCTTTCCGATTGTGTTCAAGAAGAGTAGAAGAGCAGAAAAAATAAATGGATAAGAACAATTCGGGACATCTTGATAGGACAACAAGAGGATAAGTTTGAAGCGTTGACAAAGCCTGCATTTAGCAACAGGACAGAATATCGACAAGTGTAAACCAAAATTCAAAGGGCAATGTGCTGATTTGCCAGATGTTATTGTATTACGCGAATATGACGATTGTAAGTCACGGGTAAACGCGCGCATACATATGAGAAGTACATCAGCATTCACAAAAAATAACAAGGGTTAAACGGTGGCGCTAAGCATTTGTGGAAAACAAAGATATTAGGCATATCGGGAGTCCGCCTAACAGACAAACAATACAGTACTATAATTCGAGCTAAATTTAGATAGCAGAACCGAAAAACGGTTAGCCGTGTGCGTCGGCGGCAGACGCCTAAGTGACTGGGAATGGGTAAATACGATAGATGGAAGTCACGTGATGGGGTAGAAAACAATCATGTACCCTGCCAACAACACCGTACAGCAAAATACAGGTAAGCAAACTTCGCTGATCGCTGCCAAGCTCATGGTGTTCACAAGGTAAATGCTAATGTGTACGGTGGTTAGGAAATGAACCTGCTTTTGAGGGAAGGGGAGAGAATGCGAATCCTTATGGTGGTCGCGTAGAATGCACAGTTTAACTGTGCACAAGCCCTTTTTAAGCATTGTAGCTTGATATACAACGAAAGCAAAAAGACCACAACCGTCGATTCTCCGCGAGGTGAGGCAATCAACCAATTACAGAGTCCTTCTGGTCACAACGTAGAAGACCGGAAATATCTACGGTAGTTAATTTCTTAGTGCACTGCTTCGAACCTCATCTACACGTCATTGGTTGACCTAATCTGAAGCCACAACTGTAAACCAGGTTTAATGGGGAACATGGTATTCCTCCAGCTGACGAAAAAATTTCATCAACTGATCGTAGACCCTTATTCTACGAGAGATATGTGAATCTAATGACCTAAATAAATGAACGTACATTTGGGGCATTCCCATGCGCAAAAGCGAACCGAATAGAGCTATCAAAATTCACTCAGTCAGGCAGAGAACGCACAGTCATGCATTGATTCCATAAGTAAACTGCGGCAAAAGGGAACTCGAAAGTAGACAAAAAGCCAGCGAATGTGATGCAAGAACTCAATTCTAAGACCTATGATAACAGATTGCAAGCACCAGAGCTGCAATTCTCCTGTCCAGAGGAATTCGAAAAGCATTTCGTATAGTAAATATTGCTGCAATCTAATCATCCGTTTCACACTCTCCTGACATTAATCACCGACGCCCACTTCGGGGAACACTCCGTTTAAAAGCTGAAGCTTCAGAAGAGTCGGAGAAATTGTAGGCATTACTCCTTCGATAGCAGGGTACGAACAGCCTAGAATTCTCAGTCCCATTAAATTTGTGGAACATGTAATTGTTCAAGACTCATGAATGAATGTGGAAACTGTCTGATTTCTTTGGACTCATTATGTGAAAATACAGCGAGTTCGAGCTTTGTTACTTGGCCTCCTAGCACCCTTCTCTTTAGCATTCCCACTGCGTCACTTTAAGGATAGCCAATGACCTGTGCAAGCAATTCGTGTAACTACTCCTCCAATCTGTAAAACTTCAGTAAGATTGGGTTGTTTGCCCGGAGGATCTAGTTGCAGTGTGTGTGAGGTAGTGAGTTGTTACTGTTCACAGGTTGGGGTGCCTACCCGTATGATACTCTGATGGTATGCAGTTAGCCCTCGGGCTTTCTGTCCAAACCAGGAGAACGGGCTGTACTGCCGTGACTGGTAGTGCTAGGCTTAATGAGGAGATTTGAGCTACGGCTCTGCTCCCGCCCTGTATTCTGTTTCGTTACGGGTGGTGGTGGTGCAGTAGTTTAATCGCTGTCAGGCGTGCTTTAGACCCTATGGTCCGAGGTTCGAGCCCTGCCACCGCCACCCAACTTTGGTGGTAGGCAGTTTTGCTATCGTCCGGTCTAATACCACACCTAACTTATCGGGGCCTTATGTGGTCCGACACTTCAAGTCCCAGGGATTAGGTTACCGGTTTCCATGACTGAACAGCAGGTCCTTGTGACTACGGGGCTTTCCCCGTCTGATGTTCATCACACGAAAGTGTGTAATAAAAAGGTGTGCTCTCAAAATCACAAAGAATCCGGCAGTAAATTGGATCCCGAGTAGGAGCAGAAGGCATCGATCAAATACTCAACCAATAGCTTATGGCAAAATTATGCACGCGTTCACACAGAATCAGTATGCCAATCAACGCATTTTAGGTCGGATCAAGACAGATCGTTTCGACTCGCACAGATGAGCTATTAGGTGAAAGACATGGGTGAGATGAGTCAGATCGACTGATGCATGCGGCCACAAACTGAGCGGAAGCGAGGGATGTCAACTAGGAAGGTCAACATAACCGAATCGATGGTAGCCACTGATCGAACTGATTACACTTTTTAGTCAGTTAACCGAATGGTCGAATTTATTCATTTCACAATCACTACTAAGGAAGTTTATTGCAAACACGTTTCAACGAACTTCGTATATAAAACGCGAAAAGTTGTACTTTCGCACATCAATCAGGTTTCAGATTGACATGCAACAGCGGCAGCAAGCAGCCTACACGTTACGGGTTAATAATTATCTCATTGACATTGTAGTTAGCGGAGGTTAGGAAACACAAGCCGAGCTCGTTCTGCAAGTGAAGAAGTATTCTCAAAGATTTATGAATCATTTTTTTGTTCCATACCAGTGCGATCAACAAAGGAGGGAGCGGATGCTATAGTCACGACGACCTGCTATTCGATGATGGAAACCGGTAGCCTAAGCCCCGGGACTTGGAGTGGCGAACCACATAAGGCCCCGCTAGGTTAGGTATGGTATAGACCCGGAGACAGCAAAGATGCCTACGACTAAAATTGAATGGTGATGATGGGGTTCGCACCTCGGAACAAAGGGTCCAAAGCAGGCTGATGACAGGGACTAAACCACTGCGTAATCACCACCCATAGGCGATACAGCTCTCAAAGTAAAAAGCAATAATTTTCTTTGTTTTATTGCTTCCCCAGAAGAAACAGTATGTGGTACGGAGTGGGTCTAACCCTGTGGAAGAACTCTGCACTTCCAAGTTCCATGGTGCTTATCAAACACAACTACACTGTTTATTAGATCGTCCAGGAAAAACTGCAGACAGATTTTAGGGCTTTGGAAACTAAACGAGTCGACTGCTTTCATTCATCAAATGATTTAGTGCGCCGTATTTTCGATCACCGCGGGACGTGCAGGTGTCAGAAGTAGGAATTTTATTGGGAGAACGAACCACTAGTTCAAACAAAACGAATTCTGGCCACATGAGTCTGTTAACTAGTATGGTGCAACGGAAGAGAAAAATAATTCCAGTCCAATGAAATCAGTCTGAGCCGGAATGTGAAGAAATAGTCTTGAAACGAATGCAGTCAGAATTGAGTACGGCGATACTCAGCTCAGACCACAATGCTATCAAAACACCCAAATGTACATATCATGCTCGTATCAGGCGATTTGGTGTGGCCGGTGCGAACGATAAATGCGTCTGAGCCCAAGACGAATTCGGATAGGAGACAGTCTGGTATCAAACCACTATTCCAGCCAAATATTGGCGTCTGCCTACATATGAACGCAGGCAACCTATCAATCAATTGGCTCAGATCGATTGGAAGTGTCCTAGCTAATGCGCCCGCAAAACACCAATGGTAGAGGGAGGGATTTTATCGGCTGAGAGCATGAAATTACAGGTGTGTGAATTGGAGTGAAAACATTTGCAAGAAGTTCATGGTACAGTTGTTGGCTTTTCACCACTGTTGGCAATGCAGTTTAGTGCTCGTTATTTGAAAACAAAACTATAGACGGTTTTCCTTACAATGATCACACCTTAGCAGCCGTTTTCTTCTTTTGGAAGCGCGGACACGGTGATTTATGAATACAGCGGTTCCAGTAGGCAACTAAGTGGCACAGAGTGATCAAGTTAAATGAATTCCGAATTGATGGGAGATGTGATTGAGGACAAATAGAGATGGCTGCATAATCGCCAGCGAACCACTTACTCACTCTCGTGGATTGAACAAAATAGCACATGGCACGATATAACTGACAGTGGATATTATGTTTCATTCGACGACTGCATCACAACGAAGGACATTCTAGCTAGTACGTACACTGCGATCGGGTTACTGCTTTCGTGCAAAAATTTACATGAATCTTTATACGATGGACAGTAAATGTAGTTGACAACCGTTTCTCTTTTTCTCCTCAAGCTGAAATCTGTGATTGTAACTCTCAAAAAATGAACAGCAATAATTTCATGAACAATTGTAAGAATACATAAGGTGATATGAAATGGAATTTGAGGATTGCGACCAAGGTTTCAGTAAAGTTTTATTTGACAACCTTCAACAGTAATAGCAGAGAAAAAGACTCGCCAAACACGAGTTTTGAACCTGATTGATGATGACTAATACAAAGGAATCTATGGATCACGTTGATCTGAATCAGCAGTACTTCTTATTGTCTTATATGAGATTTCCTCAACATCAGCGCACCCGCTTTGGAGTATAAGATTTATTTCAAACTGTCACAGAGACATCTGGCTTAGTCAACGGGACATGCAGCAAAAGAACATTTACCTTTTGTCAAACAACTCATAATCTGATTTGGCAACGACTCCGTCTCCACTGCGGAGTGGACAGAATTTACAGTATGAGCATCCACTTGCAAAGCTTCAAGCGAAACCAGCGATTGCGCCACCCCATCGGTAGGTGTCTGAGATACACGGAAGGCTTCCGAGGATGGTTTTGATTGGCCTGCACTCACATCAGTAGTTTTACCCTCCGTTGAAACCACAAGCGAGTCATGTCTCGAAACCGAATTAGATGGTGATGATGTCGGTGGTGGTGAAAAGCACGGCGCCATAGGTGTGTGAAGAATGTTCCATATTTCTGTCATACATGCACGCAAAGTGCACAAAGATGCTGGACCGGTAGACTGTGCTTGTAGCAAATCAGTTTCCATCTGTTGTAGTAGAGATCCACGAGTGGCTAATTTGCGGATATTGAGAAGCAATTTGGTTCGCGCTCCTTGAGTGACATTCTGAACCAGATAGAATGAATCATTATAGGCTGGTTTCTTCAACACAGAATAAACGACAAGCGAGTAATACAATAAATCGGCCAAATATAGCCGCGGGAATCTTAGTGCTACGCATATGGTATTGAGCCAAGATTCCACTTTAAATTTAAAATTGTGAAAGGAGAGATTCCAGTTTGACATGGTCAACCACATAGTGAAATAGTGGATATCCATGCGATGAACGCTCAGTTAGAGATTTGGAAGGTAGTGTTTCAGCGTTTAATTCCCACTCCATGCAATTACTACAGAAAACATTTTCGAATGCATACATTACTGGAAGCCGAATATATAATCCAGGGGAACTAATCAGAGGTACGTGTATCTACATTCACTTACCGTGTATTAGGACTGTTAAACTGTCAACATATTACCAGTAAGCCAGTGTTCAAAAGGCGTCACACTTCAAGCAAACTTGATTGTACAACTCCAACAATGTTTATCTCACACTTCCTGACTTATGACACGCAACTCACAGACGGGCACAAACAAGGACCCGGTGTGCAGATATGTACAGATTGATTAGAAGCCTCAACACCGAGGCCAAAAAAGCGGGTAAGCGGTTGAATAAAAACACTGGAGGACACTGTAAGATTCGACAGCGTTCATGATGGGTTTGACAGATGAGCAATAGATTTCGGACAACTATACTTCCGAGCACCATGACAATTATGTTCGGCAAATAGAAGACAAGTAAAATAGCGCATATTCCGTATGCGACCAACGGTCTCTCCGAAATACATTCGGACGACTTATACGAAAGTGATATAAGGTTTGAGGAGTTCAAGTTGAACATGACACACCGCTCCAAGTACCTATTGTGGTTCCACAAACGTGAAGCAATGAAAAACTTATGTCGGGTGAAAGAGGTCGGACAAAGCAGACGCAATCAGATGGAGCACGAAACAGACAGAACACTCACACGTTCTTCCAGCCACGACTCCGTGATTCCCATAAATTCACCGTAGGATAAGTGTTGAAATAGGCCGGCATATTTATGAAGTCGCAAACTTTTCAACCAGCTCGGTACAGCTGCAACGAAACGAGGGATAAACAAATGCACAATAAACAGCCAACGCGAAAACGGACGCGCATGGTGATCGTGCACCAAACCAAACGACCGCGAACGGTTCTAACCAGACTGTGATCGGAAATTACAGTCTTTCGTGAAATTAAAGAAAACTGAAGCGTTATTAAAGGTAACGTATATAATCGAAAGTCCAACAACGTCTATTTTCACTGAACATTTGTTTCATCCTAGAGGACGCACTTCTAACCCTGGAACAGTCAAGTGCTACCGGTAAACAACAGGATAACACACAAATTCACTACAATTAAGAGGACTTTTCACTCCCAACGGAACAGCGAACAGTTTTTCATGTGTTCGAGTCCGCGGAATGCATTGCCGCGTACTTTCTTTATTCCCGTTGCATCCAAACTACGACGATCTTTACGGTTGACGGCTCTGCTTCCTCCCTTCCGAATATAAGAACTAGATAATCCGGTATCTACATACAAATACGCTTCAGTAGAAGCTATTGTCGGTGGACGACAATTATTAACCCTGGGAACCAGTGATCATCCATTTACCGAATGACAGCTCTCCGCGGGCGTTTAAAAAACTCGATTAATGAGAGCTCACCAAACATGGGAGAGGAGGAATCGGAGAATCCAGTCAAATCTTCAGTCAGGTTAGATGATTTGTGAAACAGTTGCGGTTCCGGTGACGAGTCGTGACCAGCGAAAGTAGTTGAATCCGGTCCGTGACCGAAATTAGATGTACACGGATTTTGCGATCCGTCGCATTCGTTTGGTTCGTAAAGTCCCTGGTTGTGGAAATCTCGATCGAGCAAGGGATAGTTCGCACAGGACAGATTACATGGAATTCGAGTAGAACAAGTGCCATTTATTGAAGTTATCTGCATCTCGGAAGACACAGTAGCCACTGTGGAAGGAGGTGACGGAGGCAATGAATAGCTGTCCTCATGAGTGGACACAGCCACGGCACTTCCGACCGGTGACTTGACCGGAGACGCTCCGTGTCGATGATGACAAACCGGCTGTAGAAAGCACCGATATTGAAAATTTAGCAAAGGACGAGTAATGCAAACTAGTTTGACTGGAACATCCTGAATAGCAACTTCAAAATACAACATGTATCAAAAATGGGCGGTGGTCAGGGAAAATACTTCTTCAAATTGGATGGATCCTCGAAATGAGCGGTTACATCCAGTGAAATCCACACACTAATAGCAATAACATATATTTATAATATATAATAATAATAATATTTGTAATGCGGTTTACAGTGCTCTCACACGATTATATTACTAGGCATACCACTTTTGATTCGGCGTGGACACAGCTACATTAATGATGAAGGATGGGAGGGATAAACTCTATCACTGTTCGCGTGGGTCTGACAAGCTGAAATCACACGATGAGAAGCAGGTAGACGGCCAACAGTATGTGACAACATTGTTGTCTTACGTAGAACAGAAAGGATATTGAAAGGCATGTGATAGTAATAAAAAATTGCCAACACAAAAGTCAAAACGCTCGTACGAACATAAGTTTGAAAGCATCATAGAACAGAAAAAGCAATACTGCTCTCATAATCTAACACGTAAAATACACAGTTTTTGAAGCGTACGTTACACTCAAACCATTAGCTTTTTGGATAGATTGTTGAAACAATTGCATGCCAAATTTCAAATATATACTGTTCTCTAGTTGAAAGAATTTAGCATCAATTTATATAGTTCTCTCGACCTGCGGTTGCTTTCCGGGTGTGAATTAAAAACACATTAGCGAAGAAGAACGTCGTTTTGTATATAACGTATCTGCGTGTTGATTGTGAACTAACGTAACAAAAAATTTTGAAACTGGACGTTCGCAACATTACGGCATCTCACCGCCTGATGAGCCTTTACACCTGGTTGTCTAGAGGTCACAAGTTGCTGCGAAACACATGAGGGACTTAAAGCGGTCAGGCTTGAGGTAGACCATTCAACAGTGGAGAATACATGCCGCTCAAATGTGGACATCCCTTTAGACGAAGTATATCTTCATCCGAGCTTTGGGTCGTTGTGGAATTTAATTGTCGGCATGAGAAGAAGAAAACAAGCGTCTCCACAGCACAGTTGCCAACAAATCATGCTTATGACTAATTATGTGAGATTGATAATCCTATTCACATTTGTTTGCAAAAAAACTGCTTGAAACGCATCTTAAACCACATTCAGATGTGCTATCAAGAAGCTTTCATCACAGGCTTACTGAGATCTGAGAGCACAATGTTGCATTCTCTTATTCAGGCATGAACTGCAAAAATGCAATGCTTATTGTAAAACATTTTTGTTAAGCGGTAAAACATTAGCACCCGCTAAGGCGCACAAAAAAGCAAAAGTCTCTCCGAGGGTCGATAAGGCTTTGCTCTCACTCCGATAAATGACCTTTATGGAGTCTTGTAAAAGAGCGGCTCGGGAAGCCCTGCAAACTGCATTCGCACACCGAGGGTGTTTTCATCAAATGACATCCGGGGCTATGGGCGGGTTGATGGCCAAGGGATGCTGGTTAATCAATGGCAGTTGGAAAACTCCAACTCCTAACCTACCGAATAGAGGTGTATGAACTAGCTCTAGAACATCCAGATGGCAATGGTCACCGGTTCGATTGGGTACATTGAATAAAATGAACGTGTGAATCTCGCCCGAAGAGCTGTTAATCCGACTGATTGAAGACCGGTCCAAAACGCTGAGTTGTTGACATCAACTCGCGGCCTTGTAGGTCAGGCTTCAACTGGCTGAAGGACCCGGTCGTGAGTACGCCGAGAAAGCTCACTTGCTTTGGCCTGGGCAACCGTCACGGCTGCGAACCAACAATGGCGATCATGTTGCCACTTCTTATCAGACCAGAATGCTTGAAATATTATGTATGCACAGTTGAACCGTTTAATCTGTGTGTTGACCGTAGATTTTTGCTGACTTTTCCCGTCCATAAAAATAGGTCCAATCCCTGTCCTCCCTACATATTATCAGGTACCTTGTGTGCAATATGAGTTAGGAAGCGATCAGTGAATTTCGCTTCACTGTATTACGCTGTACAATGATGACTGGGTAACCTGACAGTATTCCATCCACGACCAAATCATCCTACGATTTCTCTTGTGAAAATTGTTTTACCGCGACGTTTTGGCACAGGTTTGACTTGGACAAATGTGGAATGTGCAAAGCGTATTAGCCTTGGTACTCTAACTAAATCTAACTACCACGGTTTGGAGTTTCTATTAAAACACCACTAACCGCATTGTACGCATACAAAATAGGTTGACTTATCATTAACATCGTAGTGAGATAGTGAAACGAGCTACATACACTAATTGCTATCAAACTCGCAACACACAAAGTTGAACTATGTAAGTTGGATGGAAAGTAAGACTGTTGGTTGAGCGGAGACCTCTGGAATCGTCACACAAGCATAAAAAACATTACTCAATTGCATCACAATACTCAGAAATATTGCTGATCAATGGTTTCAACTATTCACTGAACCGGAGCTAGACCAAAGGACTGAGGGAACAACTGTTTCTGAGCTATATGCTTTCCCATATATCACACGAAACGAACCGTTAGATATTTCGGATCTTTAATGTGTGACATCACCCAAGTCTAGTGGATTTTTATGATCAATGTGCTCTCGGTCAGCCTCCTGTTTGATGCATGGCTGTCTGCATACCGGGACAGGCTTACGTGTCAGTTTCCGCATTGGGCATTTTTCGACGTAAAAGACAGTCAGTTCGGCAAGAAGAGTCGAGAGAAAATTTTAGCTCAAACAGACTGAACCGATGAGCGCAGGCTAGATGTTCGTGGATGAAAAATGGTTTAGAGCGAGATAATCGACAAGTGCTATGCACTTAAAAGATGTTGATCAATTCCGTGTGTGTGTGTGTGTGTGTGTCTGTCTGTCTGTCTGCATTAGCGCACTTGCTAGCACTAACGCGAGTTTGAAAAAATTCCGCAAGTATTCAACCTCAGATATCAGATCGTGCGAATGTTGTCAGTCACCTTACTGTGGTATACACATGCATGAAAGACATTGTGGATCGAGTGATGTCACGTGAGTCGTCAGAAAAATCCTAGTTCTAAGCTGTGCTCCTCACCTGCCTTTATCGAATACAGTGGATCTAGCTATTTCAAACAATCAACGGAGAATTCAAATCGGATGAAATCACCCAATATTCAGAGCTTTCCGGACATCCTCGCGAAAAAATGAAATGGATAGTGCTGAAGATTCCTATGAATACTATTTAACAGATGACATATATGCACATATAACGGGTGGGAGAATTATTTTAAACGATACTTCAACGATGAAGGAAGACACATTAGTTTTACGAACACGCTGAGGAAGTCAATCAGAAGTCAGGTTCTTGATAGGAGAAATGCTCTATACTGGAAGGTTTATGAAACCTGATTGTGTGAGCTTGAAAGAAACGTCTAACTCCTCCTTTTATTGATGACGAAGATCCCTTCAATTTGCATGGAAGACAGACGGGTCCACTTTGGATGTTGTCACCTATTAAGTTCATCATGTCGCTAAATCCCTAGACGCATCTGGAAATCTGTAGGATCTGCCTTTAAGATTTCTTTGTTCATCTTTGACTCTGCTCGACGTTGCCTCCTCCTTGTGGAACCAGAAACGTCTGTCAAAGCTAGTCGACTAGTTTACAAGCAGTTATTGAAAACATTCAAATCGCTTGTGTGAGTAATTCGGGGAGCAGCTACCTTATTCTTATTTTTCCACTTATATCAGTGATTTGTCAGCAATTTTTCCAAACCTTTACCGCAAATATGCTGATGATGTAGGTCTATACCAGAATATGTCTGTGGTCACAGGCTCAAAATTTCTCGTAAAATCTGATAATTCATCCGAGTACTTCGGACGCACACTTACCATCTCCCAGTTCACTTATCCCTGGGATCCTCAACCATAAAGACAAACCATCTAACTACAGTAGGTTATGCTAACGATACAGGAGTACCCGTGGTCGAAATAATGGAGAATTCGGCTGCACAAACCCCCTCTGTGTGCCCAAAAACAATTTGTGCAGGCGCTTGAGCTCCCCTAGCCCACCCCTTACACACCCCATATTCCGATTAGTTCCAACGACCGGATACCTAACAATTATGTGATCATTGAGAATTCCACATCCGGTCCCAAGATGAACTTAGCCCCAGATAACCCATGAAGTTATTTTCCCATAACCAAAACATTTGTTTGCGTTTTTATGGTTGAATACTGATTTATATATCAACAGCGTAATATGTATTGTGATGTATTTGGCATAACTACGAATAACTGAAAACGAGTTTGTTCACCACTTCTTGTTCTATTTGAAATGGAGAATTCACTAAGTGGTATCCAAAATGTTGGTTGTTAATGAGCAACATGAGAAAAGTTGCGCGATTAACAGCACGCTGACGACATCGTGTATAGAAAGGGCGCAAAGCGCATTTGATAGAATAGCGAGTACTGTTACCCTATTCTGTATATGCTTTGCACATTCAAAGTGCAGTGTTGCTGCAATACTGGGTGTCACCGAGTCCCGCCTTGAAACTAAATGACCAGGAATTAGTTACAGTGGATGGCTATTCCTACTTGAGTTGTTGCGTGACCAATAACCACAGCACAGCAGAGGAGATACCCGCCCATATTTCCAAAGCTCGAGCAGCACATGCAGAACTGAAACAAAGTTGGCGCATACGCGACGTTTCAATGAAGTTGAAAGGTTGTGTACATTGTGCTAGCGTTTGTTTAGTTTTGCTCTATGCTTGTGACACCTTGAATTTGCGAGTAGAAGATATCCATCGACTGAAAGTTTTCGACTTTCGATGTTTACGTAGTTTGGTTCTCGTGGGATGGAGTGTGTGAGTTAGTAACCTCAAGGTAACTCATCGTACGTTTGAGAATTTATCGGGGATATTTTTGTTATCGCATCCAATTCAGCTTAGTAGGCTTCACTGGCTAGGGTACGTATTGCGCATGCCCAATTGTCGTCTACCGCACTGCTCCTTATTCAGCGTAGCCGCTCCGTGTTAAAAGAAAACATGCGGAGCAATGCACGTAGATATCAGGTTGATTACGTATCTTGCGCCTCCCGGGTCCAAAAGACCGGTTGGTTGGAGACATTGAATGATACGACAGTGAACTGACGGCAGTGGCGTCCTTTTTATTATTTCTTATTGGGTCAGGATGCTTGAAAAAGTAATTAGAGATTCACTTGTTTTCCTCCCTCAAAATAGGTTCAATCCTTGTCCAGCTTACATGTCATCGCTAACTTTGTATGCATGGCAAACTTGGCAGCGAGCAGTGAAATTCGCTTTACTGTATTTCACTGTAAGATAAGGATGCAAATTTAGGGTGGATTTGTTGCATTTATAAATTATACCTTGCATTAATAACTCATCATATAAATAATACTTACAGCTAGAGCTGTTACTTCAATTCGAAAGCTTAAGGAATGTAACGTTAGACACAATATTGGTATATCCGTGTATTTTTTCCTGTTGCTCATTAATAATCTCCCATTTTTTTGAAGAAAAATTTCAAAATTCTTTACCGCAGTTAAACATCTTGTTTATTCCTTGATGAACCATCTACAAAACTGTGCGAACTGCACTTCTCCGCGCGTGAAACCTTTACACAGAAAACATTTTCTGATTCCCCTCAACCACTACTTGTCGACTTATTCTAGTTTCAGTCTCACGCTTCAGCATGTTATGTATTCCATTTATTGTCCATCCACATTAGCATCGATGGAAACTCCACTGTTTCCTATCTCACTCGAATTGTCACAAATGGGGTGAGGAAATCTGCTGAACTTATCAGCAACTTTGATGGTTAATCTTTCAACGACTATTGCATCCATCCTGTCTGATGCACTGAATCACAGTTGTAGATTAAAATGCGGGTAAAACATACAATAAATGCTAAGTACTGTTGAACAAAACAGAGTAGTCAACTGCCATGTTATTGTCCCAACTGATTACAAATCCACTTCCAATGTTCATTCGACGGCCCAAAACTCAGTGACACAATCACTTCTGGCATGTAGTTGCACTAATAAGGCCCAATCCCTGATGATTGAGACTGAATAGATAATCCAAGCACGAGTCTAACGCTGACCACATAAGCCGCTTTCATTTATTAACACCACGCTAAGCGGAAAGCACAGCCGATTCTACAATATCTTCCCAAGCTTTTATGAAATCATTATTAATCGATGAGAATATTTATATTCTCTTCAATCAGAACACTAATATAACATAAGAATCGTTTGTATACGCTAAAGCTTCCATTAGTTTTACCTCGGAAATGGGAGACAGGAACGCAGTTTATGCTACTGATATAAGGATGAAGAAAGCCTCCGATGAAAAACATACCACGAACCAAACTAGAACTATCAATACGTATATTCCATGAGATTGTTCTCTCTCTAGTACAAGACGAAGCTCGTACTTAGTGTGGTATCTAGAGCCTATTGAATTTATTCCGAGTAAGCATTAGAAGAACCAGAGACAATTGGAAATACATTACTTAAAATTAGATGCTCCAAGCGGTTCACAGGTATAAAACATTCAACAAAAATTGCCCTTACCAGAAACGATGACAGCCAAAAGAAAAAAACTACGCACAAAGCCATCAGTTAAAGGTAACATGAAAAATGAAATACTAAAACGACTAGCAAAAAAAGCAGTAGTCCGTGTACTTACCCGCTGTGTTGAATACACCGTTCACCAGCTGGTCAGTAGGATGCATGACCATCAAAGACAAACCGTCTGTCGAATGCGACGGAATTATTGTGGTGACCGAAACAGAGCAACGGACAGCTGTTTAGTCCTTACTGGAACTTATCAGCAATGACGATTTCCCCGAAGAAGTACTGTTGAATTTTAGTGTTTTTTGTGATTGCGAATATCACAAATTGGCAAATAAACGAAAAGTGATTAGTTCACATCATGCGGTTGAGGTAGGTACCCTAGTCGTGCCATGTGACGTAATCAATTGAAGATTAAATCCACAAGCAAATCACATCATAATTTCATTACGTAGTTCACCTGATTTGTCAAATACATCACACGATCTCAACTCCCCCAGCTTCTTAAGGAATTGTTATGAATAAATGAAAATGTAGAAGCGACGATCGTCAAAATACAGCTGACGTAATAAATGTTGCTTACCCGCAGGTCTAAGTTACTGGAAAAATTGGAACTGGCGCTGCTTAATGAAACTGAATCGCTTGTGTGTTCTGTGATTGTCTCCACTGGATATTGTGCTGCCAACGCATTCGGGAGAGAAGCGCGCGCCACAGCAAGCGACTTCGCGTAGGAATTGACGTTCATTACGCAGTCCATACCTGTGCAGTTGTTACGTGTGTGACCATGACTATCGGAACGTGATGTGGTAACCCGTGTCTCGTTGCCCAAGCTAGAAGTAGCCAATGATTGGGACAAAATGTACGGACCATCAGAAAGACGTCGCTGTTCTAACGCTCCATATGGTCCAGGGTAGGCTGAACAACCCAAATGGTGGTTCGGAGCCCTAGGATCCGGAGTGGGTACAGTTAGGAGTGTTCCGTATTGAGAACCACCGTTAGTAAGTGCATAACCTGTATGCCCGTTCGGGCCCTCCGACAGGAGGTCATATTGGCTGCCGGAACCCCCGCAACCCGAAAGAAATCC